TTTTGTGAAGGCTAGGCCTATTTCGAGTCTTTAGAAAGGCATAGGGTAATGTTAGAGAACCTCGAGCCTCTTGTATATGATATAGATGACATCCTCGGGGATGACGTTCTCGATCTCGCGGATGTGAAAGGCACTGAGGGTAGGACTTTTTTGCCTTCTTCTTTACTTATCTGTCCTTGAACATATAATTGTGCTCGTTTTAATGACTTGTTTTTTGCAGAGATGACTTTTGATCCTTCAGCCCTCAGACAAGCCGTGACCAAAAAGTCGAAGGCCCCTCAAGCTCGAGCTCCAGGGCAAAAGAGAGGGAAGAAGAGAGCTCGAAACTTAGGCCCCGAGAATATCAGAAGTGGGCCTGGGGAAACTTCTGCCCGGGGACATACCCCGACCACACAGGCCACTGAGACTCCTATTGCTCCACCTCGGTCACGTCCTCGGCCAAGGAGTACTCCCGAGGTTGTTGACCTCGAGGATGAGGTCCCACCTATGCCCTCTTTCCAAGATCAGGATCCTGACTGGTGTCTTCTGGTGTCCAGCATCGTGGACAAGTATCGGAAGGACCTCGGTTTTGATGAGGGCATGAAGGCTCTGGAATCTCTCACTCTGAAGGTAAGCTCGATCAATTTACTTGGTGTAAATATAAGGTTTAAACGATGTGATTGCTTAAGCTCGGGTTTATATGATGTAGGCTCTGAGCATTGCCCGAGGCCTTTCTCTGAAGGGGAAAGATGAGGCCTAAAAAACCACTGAACTCGAGGACGTTTCTCTAGCACATGAGAAGAGGCTAACCGACTTGGAGGCTGAGCGCTTTCTTCTTCAGAAGGAACTCGAGGACTCGAAGAACGACGTCCAGAAAGCTCGAGAAGAGGTTGGAGCTGCCAAGGGCGAGGCTGAAGGTTTAAAGCTCGAGATCGAGCGTTTGAAGATTGATTTTGAGACTCACCTGGCTGAAGCTCGAGGGGTTGCGATCGAGGACTTCAAAATGTCCGAGGAGTTCAACGGTCTCAAGGGAAAGTACGCCATGGGCTCGTACTTTCATGCCTTTAAGGAAGCTCGGGCATTTTTGAGATCGAATCCCGACGCTAAACCCGAGGATTTAAAGAGCATCCCTAAGGTTGCTGATGTCCTCGAGCTTTCAGAGTCCGAGGAAACCGTCGAGGACCATGAGGTCGACGTTGACGGCGAGGACGCAGTGGAGGAGCAGGGGAGCACAACCTCGGGAGAAAGGGCCGAGGACTTAGATTAGTTTATGTTTTTTCTTATGATGACACCCCTTTCTTTTTGTAATTTGAACATGTATTTTACTCGATCAAGTATTTTTCTTCTTGCCGTGTACTGATGTCTCGATCATGACAAACTCATATAGCTCGATATAAGATGGTTAAATAACTCGACGCCTAGAGTAGTTAAAACATCTCGAGGACTTAATTTGTGAAATTATTTCCGAACATTCTAATGTACACAAAATTTATCCCGAGGACTCAAATTGTAAAATCTTTTTGGAATGTCAGTGTTGAACTCGAGCATGTAGACAAGTTACCTCGAGGACAAAATAGTAAAATTATTTTGGAACATCAAAGTGTTAAACTCGAGCATCTAGACAAGTAACCTCGAGGACTAAAGAATCATCTCGACGATTGAGAAGAAATAACTCAATTTTAAAC